AAATCTCCGAATCAAACAGGCCCCATCCTCTAAGTGCTCTCCCAGCCCCCTCCATGGCTGCCCTGCCCAGCCCCAGCTCCCGGCTCTTTAAAAAAAAAAAAAACCTTATTAGTTACTCTCCTAAATCACTATGACCAAACTCATATTAATACATGTGTGGGACTGCCGAGACATTAGTAAGACTCTGATAAAAGCCATTAAACTACATTTTCATTTGGGTCCAGACATATTATTCCCAATCTGTGGAATTACATCATTTTGATTTAAATAAAGGAAATATAAAAAAATGAAACGTCTTATAATATGATCTTCTATTGGCAATACAAGATAGCTACAATACTGCTCCTTATCAACCAAGACAATCTCTTCTCCTATAATATTTAAAATATACCCACCTGCTGGGTATACTCATCCCGATTTGACATCAAAAGAAATCCACCATCATCAAGAATAACACAGTCGACATGCTATAAAAAAGGGAAAAAAATCATATGTATTTTAGAAAAGATATGGAAACGTGCTCTTTTACAAGCAAGCAGATGCCCTGAGAAAATGCTGACAGACTCAAATTCATGCCCCTCTTTTCAAAAGAAATCAGCCTGGCTATAAATAATCTATGAATTTAGATTAGTTTCCAACCATCAGAACCTAGGAGGTCCACGTTAAAATTTATATTAAGGATTTTAGGCAAATTCCTGGGTTGCACATTCAGTTCTCTATTGATCCAGTAATTTGACCCTCTTTTATTCCTATTAACACCTGGCAAAGGTGTTTTGGGTTTGGCACCTGGTATTCAGACAGTGTAGTAATACAGATTATATGACAACTCTGGAACACAGCCAATAGAAGTGGATCTATAACACTACCATAAAAGTTTGAACAGATCAAGGGGCTGCTCAAGACTTTAAGTGTATGTTGTTTTGTAAATGACTATTGGCTCAGAATACTTTACTAGTCCCGAGAGTGCCATGTCCTTGTAACAGCCCTATAAAGTGACCAAAACATTTGATCTGCTCTTGCCTTTATGCCATGGGACTTTTTTTAATTTGCACCTTTTAAAGTTAAGTCTCAAGACAGCAGACCCTAGTCTTGCTGCCTATTATTATTTCATTTTAATTAATGTATTTTAATCTCTCTGTTCCACCCTGGCCAAGTGTCAGGTGCTGGAAGTGGAAAGTCAATTAATTAATTATAACCCATACACTCTAGATACCTGTGTGGTCTGAGATTTTGAAGGTACTGATGGGCCAGCTAATTAGCTGACCCACTCAATTAACCTGCTTGATATAATTGCTACACTCAACAGTCGTTCTCCAAACCATACAAGGACCTCATATAAATCCAGATTTAGGAAAGCAATATTAATATACCATCACATGCTCAAAATAGGAAATCTAGTAGTCTTTTCCTCCCTCTCTCCCCTTCCCCTCCCCACAATGTACAGAGGGTCTATGAGGTAAGTAATTAATTTACAATTCTTTAGTTAAAATGTTGCATTTTCCCCTCTCTCCACAATCCCTGTCCTCATCTTTTGTCTTTCTCCTTCTCGTATCCATTTTTTATCCTGTTCTCTCTCTTATTCAATATCAGATCTGTATTCCCTAATCAAATTCTTTGTTGCTGTCTCATAATATTTTATCCTGTTCTTTGTTTCTCCGTAGCTTTTATATCCTTTAGTTTTTGATGACTCCATTACCTACTGTTTCATTAATCTCTCCCCCTATTCCTTCTCTTTCTATCAGAATCATCTACCATTTCTTCCAAAACAGGCAAGGTAGATAACTCTGGAAAGGTTGCTTCTGTGCATGCCCTTCAGGAAGTAACCAGTGCCCTTATTTTTTGATAGACCCAAAGAATAGGCAAAGAGGACTCTTTTTCTATCTGCTAGGTATTTAATTAAAAGTGCATTCTTACCATACTGTTTCTTTCACAGCCACAGAGTTCACTGTTGCACTGAAAAGAAAGAAATAAAACTGTGTTTAGTAAACTGCTTCTGTACTATGTGGTGATGTTCACTGTCTTAAGAGTACAAATGCTTGCACTGAATTCAAGATGAAGCCAAGTGTTCTTGTGTCCATATATGCCATCAATTTATCTTCAGGTATTATACTGCCACCCATCATGATAATAGCAGAGCTCCTTCCTTATGTAGTCAACAGTAATAGCAAAATATCCAATGGCCTTTCTGTCTGGTTTGGTTTTAATTACATCTGAGTTATGAGAATGTCTGGGGAAGTTTAGGAATAGTACACCCTATATCTATGCAAGGGGTTGAAATAGATGACCCCTGAAGTCCCTTTCAACACTACGGTTGTAAGATAAAGTGCTTATGTTTTGTACATAGGAAAATACATAGGAACACTCCCCATTGTCCTTTTGTAGAGATATTTGCACACTGAGTTTTACTGAAAAGTGAAACTAACTGATCAAGTCGGACTGCATGTTTTAAACAGCTTCGTGGCTTTTTTCCCCTTTATTCTCTCCCTCCCCCCATTTTTTTCACTTTCTGTTATAATGGTCCATACAGTCCCCAGACAATTCCACATATTCTCTCGCACCCACTGAATTTCTACAGGTCTAATTTTTCTTTCATATACCCAGCTCGCTTTGTTTATGTGCTGATGATCTAGGCCAAAGCAGTTGCTTCTCTGCACTTTGCTTGCCAAAAGTGCGATAAAGGCCAGGTAAAGATCTGAGCTTCCCAAATGTAGCAGTCATATCTGACTCATTCAGTTACTCCATGCATGCCTACCTTTTCCCCTTTTAAATGCACGAGGGCCTTCCTTCACTGCTCCTACCAACACATATTCTCCTGACCCCACTCACATCTACAAATGAACTACGGGAATCTGGTTAACAACATGCTTACCACCTGAGTTCTCATTTTCAGTATAAACCCTTAATTGCAGCTGCCTACCTTTTTTCCCTGCTAAACAAAAGTTGGTTTGCAATTATAAGGAGACCCCAACCAGCTTTTCTGGAGAGATTTGATTTGTTAATACATTCTGTTGTTTGAAAGAAGGTCTCTCATGTCATTTTCCATGGTTTATTCTGTTCTAACTTCCAAGTAAATAATTGAAAAAATGCATTCTGCTTTTATATAGATTTATTTTGTGTGTTTGGATTATTTAAATGTGTGCCAGTTGGCAACTGTGCACCAAATATAAAATTAAAATATAGTAACGCTATGTCAGCCTATGGATGTGCCCTAGATACTTTTGAAAGATGTAAATTAAGTTCAATAGAAGACAACCAATTCCTTACCAGGCTCTTGATTGTGGTTTTTGTAAAGTTTTCCATCCAACTGGTTGTATCAATTTTTACTCCAACAACTAACAGGATATACAAGAAAGGCTATTTAGTAAAATGTAAGAAAAATGAAGGAACCAACAGCAAAGGAAAGCCATCACAATAAAAAGTAATATAGGAAATGAAAAGAAGAAATCTTATTTTTGATCGCTCACCTGCCCTCTAAGACCCTTTCTCAGGTTAATAAACTAGATATTTTTATACAGACACTGCTAGATCTTTGGCTTGGTTTCTACCGACAAAATTAAAATAGTCTTGTGGAAAAGAATGTTTGATAAACAGAAGCTGCTTTGTGATTGCAATTAGATTTCTCAATGACCTTAACGAAGGGCAATAACAAAAGAACTTTTGTATTTAGTGTCTGAAGCGTTCCACCTTACCTGCAGGTTTGAGAAGTTTTCCATTAATGGTTATTTCCACAGCCTTGCTTACCATAATACCTGTTTCATAGGTATTGAAACCAGTCTCTGGGGATACAGGAAAAAGGGAGTTAAGAGTAACGCAATCTTCTTCCATTCAAAAAAGAAGAAAAAAATAGCCATCCTCTCCCAGTCCATCCTCAAACTTGAAATAAACTATTATTTAAAAGGTAAACTCAGAAATTTTGCAATCAGGCTAAAATATATATATTTGAAATCATTGCAACATAATATTTCCTGCATCTAAGAAGGAGACTATTTCAGTCACTACAGCCTCTGCTTTAGAGGAGTTTTACAAGGTTAACACTCCTCAGCATCCAGTAATGAGCTCTTCTCTCTAATCAGGTTATTATTGGGCATTTTATTAGGTTTTAAGCAGTACAGAAGGTCACAACCATTTCAGGAGAATAATGTTGATCTGTAAAATAATGAAAATGCATACATTTTTATTGTTAAATGAAGCAGTAGATTGTTTTTGTGGATCTTTTATACCTGCTGTCCTTGAGACTAGATCCAATTCTGATGAGTTCTAGCAACTCAGCTAGACAAGACTGCTATGAGAGCACCTCTGTAACTGTGATACTGATATATGAGGAGAGTGCATGCCTATGATTGCCTTCAACAAAAAATATGCATTTGAGAAAGATTTGAATTAATTACATTTAAAGCTATCTGCACATGCCTTTGCCCATTAGCCATAGATTCAAATATGTACAGAGCACAGATCATATACTGGGATTGGCAGCAAAAGATTATTTCCACTGATAAGAGGCTATTTCCATAACTGAGCATCATTTTTCTCAGAGCTGCTGCTCCAGTGAACTGCCAGACTGAACTGGAACAGCAATATTGCAAACTATGCCGAAGCTGTGATCTCAAATGGTAGAAAGCAAGCATCCAAGATCATATTTATGCTTTGCAGACAACTTTGTAGTTTCAAAGTAATGAGGACTTACTGTTGTAGTATGGAGCGGTGAAGATATAGTTGTCATTATCCAAGCTCCGTTTATAGAAGCTGAGTTCATAAGTTTCAGGCTTTTCACCCCAATCTTCTCCTGCCCTAAATATGAAAAAGAAAATTCATAGGAACAAGAGAGATGGTTAGCTTATCATTTTAAGTCGAACAGAAAAATATTTGTGGGTATCTTAACTGACAACTTCCACTTAATGCAGTTCTCACATACTGCATTATTGCCTATCTTTAAAAAAAAAAAAAAATTCTGAGCTTCCACCGACTTATTTGCAAGCTCCGGTGATGAAAACAAGGAGAAAACACAAAAATGGGAGAAAAGGTTCCCGACAACAATATGTATGGGTTTTGATGTTTTTAGGTATACATTCTGAAAAACATCTGTGCATAACTGGTTTTAAGCCATATAAATATAGATTTATTTTACATGGCATCTTTTGTACATTATTCCACAATACTTTATAGAGTTAACTAATAATAGAAGAAAATAGAATAAGTTTTTGAGACAAGCCCATTGCAGACAATTACCCATTATAATGCCTCATGAGGAACAATATACAAAGTAATACAGGGAAAAGTTACATTTGCCATTTAAATATGTATCAATGTAATATCCCTGCCCTGCTCCCAGCATGAATCATTAAAGGTGAATTTTTTCATGACATGGTAGGAAATCTGATTATTTCATTTGGCCTTTATGCTCTCCATTAAAGTATCACCATTCCTCCTCTAAGTCCTGGGACAGCATGGTATATTCTAAAGCGCCGACTGCTAAAGTATTCAAGCTTGTCTGCTTCTCAAATACTTTGGAGCAATTATGAGTTAAAATAGCAAGACTATTATTCCAAGATCTAATGCTATTCTGTGCTAATAAGATGTTTGGGTCCCTGTGACCTGCTTGGTACTTAGTATGAATTCAGTAACATTACAAGCCAGTTTCATGTGGTGACATTGCTAAAATCTGCTTATAAAAAAATCAGGATAGAGGCAGATGTAACAAGGCAGATTTATTCAGCAGAAGTTGCTCTCAGTTGTACTCATTCAGTGCACCAAAGTATCTGATTTAAAGAAAGATCAGCTGATTTCTCCTTTCAAATTCACCTGAAATGTAGGCATCCATGAAAAAGCTAATCGTCAGTGGTTAGAACAGCTCACACTTTACTCTCTTATTCATTCTCCTCAACTTTGCTCTCAAATGTTTTTTATCTGCATCAAACCCAAAACCACTTGGACTTTTCAAAGTTCACAGAGCAAGAGCCACACAATACAGAAAAGGTCAGCATATCTCATTACAAGGTGGATAATACTTGGTTAAGCATTTGTCTCTAAGCCTGTGCCCCTTCTCTACCAGAAACAAATCACCTTTAGGCGCACAAAAACTGCAGGTGCCTCAAACCTAAACGGACTTGTCCTGATAGATAAAATGGGGATATTTCCCTGAGCTAGTTTTGCATAATTGAAATGCCTGAATAATATGAAAACGAATTTTTCGGAAGCACTACAACACTTGCAGGGGGGGCAACCTGTTTTGCAGGCATGCCACAGATTAGCCCCGCACCCTTCCGAAGTGCCCCTCTGATCCCCTTCCCGTGCCCAACCTGCTGCTCTGCTACCTGCTTCCTGCCCTGCATTCCCTGCCTGACCTGCTACTTTACTTTCTTCCCCTGCTCTTATCTGCTGCGGTGCTCCCTGGTCCATCCCTGCTCAGTGCTGCAGGTTGGCTGCTCCTTCACTATTAGATGCTTCTAATTTTAGCCTGGGCTATCCATAATATAATCATATTAGAACGGGAGAAGGAGAAAGAAGAGAATGGGCAGATGGGTAGTGAACGTGTCATATTCGGTTAAGCGCTCTGTGTCTAGAAAAGAGAAGTTATTTCAGTTTGGATACCAATATTTTCATCCCATCATGACAAAACTAGAGTAGGTGAGTCAGCCCTGTAACTTCACTTCAGTGTGTGGAGATGACTGCACATAGATTGCTGGGTGTGACGAGCTCTGCGTGGGCAACAATATTTTCAAGGACAGGAAAAATGACACACAACCAACTGAATAATTATAGAAAACTGCTTTCACTTTTGGTTCTTTTTTTTGTATTAACGGTTAAGCAATTATGAAAGATATTGCAGGAATCCTCTTACCTAGTACATACAACAAAAGAAACAGCAAGGTTATTTTAACCTTGTATGAAAAGTATAGGACAAGACAACTTAAATAATGGCATTGCTTTTCTTTTCTACATCTTTTGGGTTCCTAGCTATTTCACTTGTACATGTAACATGCATTATTTTGATATTCTAAACCAACAGCTTGCAAATACTCTCACATTATATTATTCAAAAATAAAATCTTACTTTCTCGGATACACTCTAGTGATTCCACCATCCGTAACAACAAAATGTGCAACAACTCCATCATTACTGAAAAAGAGAGAGGTCTAAATGAAAACTAACTCAAATCATTACCAGCTTCACCACCACAATAGTCATTGTTTAAGTGAATAGTCATAAAGAAACCACCTACAGCTTTTACCCGGCATTAAATACTCAAATATACATACATTTAGCAAATCTAGTTTTACATATTGACTTTGATTTCAAACAACAAAACAAATTGTACTTTTGGAGTTTCAATATTTGTAAAATTCCAAAAACGCACCACAAGCTATATAGGTAACAAAAAGTGTACTCACGGAGCCTGCTTACTCCAGTAATTCTGCGCAAGGTCATCTGTAAATCCAGCATCCAGCAAAACTCGAATGACCATATCAGTATTACCTAGCAAAAAAGACAAGTTAAAATCACTGAGAGCATATGATTTTTAGGTCTTTAAAACCTGAAACAAATAAAACTCCAAATTGCCAGGCTCCTGACAACTAAAACATTCACGGCTTCTGATGAGAATTTATGTGCAGGTTAATTAAATAGTTCGGCCCAAACTGTGAAACTAGAGATGTTCAGTTTGACTACTGAATCACTACATAGGTTCAAGTTAGACTGCTTTATATTGTTCATCCACATCTGTTTGTATCCAAAATGACCTGGTTTTAGAGATGAAAATGTCTGCTGCTCCCAGACTGCAAGAGGAGTTTCAGATGTTGAACAGCACTGAAAATCAGACCATTTTTATTTAGGTGCCTAAAAATAAGTAAACTATTTTGCAATATTTAGCTTAACTTCAGCTTTGCCACCATTACATCCTATAAAGCTATCCATATGCCAGCAAAATAAACAAGTTGTTTAATGGCGAAGGATCCCAATTTTTCAAGGATGCTCTAGCAAAGATGTAAGTTAGCATATTGTTATTGTTAAAAGCACATTTTCACTCAAACATCTGACATTTCCACTTTTTCACACCATGTAATTATACAAAATGCAGTGCCTGCTCTTTTCCGCACAGCAGAGAGCTTCTTTGCAGAAAATGAAGAAACCTCTTCCAATTATAAAAAATAAATCTACTGAACCTACTAGTTAAGAGCGTTTTACAAATACAAAAAACACCAAGCAATTTTTCCTTCCCTTGATGATGAATATATTTTAAACTATCAGATTATATAGGTTATATCTTCATTAGAGCTTGAAAAGATTCAGATGTCATTGTTTCTCAGGTTTTGCTGGGGACAGAATGAGAAGATTGGAGAAATGAGAAAATTTTGCAGGAGAAAATTCTTTAAATTCTGTATTGAAGTAAGTATTATAAATTTCTACTTGACAGTCATGGCAGATTCAAATGAAAGGAGTGAAACAAACAGAAACACCCTCTGTCTGACTCCAAGGCCAGTCGGAGTCGCTGTGGTAGAAATCTGTGATTAGCTCCACAGATGATCTTACAAACATTTTCTTCAGTTTTGCTCCTCAGTTTCATTCCGAGGCTTGGATTCAAACAACCTCAGAATGTTACTCGGGCAAAAGCCAACTTTTAACTATTTCCACATCAACATGAAAAAGGTCAATTAATCCAATTTAAAACCTGAATTTATAATGAAGCCTTCTGCAATTCAACTTCCAGACCCCGTTCTAACCTGCGCCGATCTAATCTCCATTAATACTAAAAAAGTATAATGAACTGTTACGTTTGTCAACACTTTTCTTACCCGTTCGGGAGAATGCTTATTAAAAGTGAATTATATTTAAGAAAAAATAAATTTGAATATCATTTTGAATTTTAAATGGAAAGGTAGCAGTAATTTGACAATCTGCTGTGTGGTTTAATTACTCCCGAAAGCCCTAGCATGTACCAAAGCTGTCACTAAATGTGTCCTTAACACTCATTTAAAGAACGGTAATACATATTACTGGTTTAGAGTTTTCATTTTCTAAAATTTCTTTCTGATTTATGCCATTTGAGATGAATAATCTCATTTCCAAGATTGACTCAGGAGATACAAGCAAACTGATAGTCATTATATAACTATGCTATGTGGATATAAGACAAATGTGAGGACGGTTACATAAAAATGAGTAAGTTTTATAGAGTTAGCTTGTGAAAGCATTTCACATGTGGTTAGGTGGTCATACCATTCTAGTTAAGTGGTTTAACAAAACTTGTGTTTTATATAAAAACTATCAGACACAAAAACTGAGAATGTGACATGTCTGCTTCAGTGAAAATTGATTCCAGATAGTGACAGATACCAGAGAGACAGACGTCTATTTTTCTCTCAAATTACTAACAATGCTAACAGGAGACACATACTGAAACACATACATTCATTATGCTATTAAAGCCTGATGCACAGTTGTATACTTAAGTTCACTTTGGTTTTAGATGCATTACTTCATCCAGCAACATTTTCCATAATTACAACGGGCTATCCTGCTGGAGCTGATGATGAGCTCCAAACCAAAAAACACAACCCAAAAAACCTGTGTTAACGTACAGTAAAAAAACAACTCATATCATCACATTGTTTCACTCTGAAACATCAGAATGGACGAATGGCACGTTCTCATTACCCAGAGAACATTTTTTGTGCAGCCAGAGTAATAGCTATGACCAAAACAAGGACTTTTGTGTATTTAGATTCCAGCATGTGTTTTTTACTGTTTGTACGTCTCTGAGCCAACAAGCTAAGGTTGAGTTCCAAGCTGAATTTTATCTTGTGCCTCTAATGCATTACTTTACTTTGTGTTTAAGTAAAAGAATATTCAATCATTTTGATTTCAATGGGTTTTCACCTCTATGATGAAACTCAGTGCAAAATCTGAAAACAAAAGGATTACATTGGTATGGTTTTGAGCCTAATTTGACCTTCAGGACCTTGATTACTGGTGACAGTGCATGAACTGGAAATAATCCAGTTTAACTTTAAGAGTCCAAACTGAGTTTTTGGGATGACAGAGAAAAATATTCCCAACTTCTTGACCGAGTATATTTGCCACGACAGACACAATAAGCATTAGAAGCATGCAATGCTAATCTTACATGGCTATTTTGCAAAGCAGAACTGCGTCAAGACCTTGATTCAGTCAAATTAAAGACAGTGTAAGCAGTTCCCTGACTACTATATCTATTCAGAAGCTTTAAATTAAGCCCATCTTTAAGTCATCTACTAGATCAGGAATTTACCGAGTCAAAACATCTATGCTCCATGATCAAATCTTCCTCTGAGTTTCCTCAGATGTTTTGTCTTATTATGAGCACCAGATTCTATCTTTGGTTCAACACCTGGCATAGCACTGATGATCCATTTATCCATCCTATACTTCCTTAGCTTGCCTGTGAAAATTTTGTGGGAGACCATATAAAAAGCCTTGCTAATATCAAGGTACATCACATCCACCGGTCTCTTCACATCCACAGAGCTAGTCACATCGTCATAGCATAGAAGGCAATCAGGTTGGTCAGGCATGACTTGCCCTTGGTGAATCCATGCTGACTGTTCCTAATCACCTTCTTCTCCTCTACGTGCTTCGAGATGGATTTTTTGAGGATCTGCTCCATGATTTTTCCAGGGACTGAGATGAGGCAGACTGATCTGCAGTTCCCTGGATCCTCCTTTTTCCCTTTGTTAAATACTGGCAATATGTTTGCTCTTTTCCAATCATCCATGACCTCTCCTGATCACCATGAGTTTTCAAAGATGATGGCCAATGGCTTTGCAATCACATCAGCCAACTCCCTCAGCACCCTCTGGTGCATCCCGTCTGCACCCCTGGACTTATATATGTGCAGCTTTCCTAAATAGTCCCTAACCTGTTCTTTTGCCACTGAGAGCTGCTCACCTCCTCCCCAAACTGTGCTGCAGAAGTCTGGAAGCTGACCTTGCCTATGAAGACTAAGGTGAAATAGGCATTGAGTACATCAGCCTTTTCTCCGTCATCTGTCACAAGGTTGCCTCCCCTATTCAGTAAGGGACCCACACTTTCCCTGAACCTCCTCTTGCTACTGACATACTTGTAGAAACCCTCCTTGTTACCCTTCACATCCCTTGCTGGCTGCAACTCCAATTGTTCTTTGGCTTTCCTGACTTCAACCCTGTGTGCCTGAGCAATGCTCTTATATTCTTCCCTAGTTATCTGTCCAAGTTTCCACTTCTTATAATCTTTCTTTTTGTGTTTTAGTTTACTGAAGAGTTCCCTGCTAAGCCAAGCTGGTCTTCTACCATACTTGATACTCTTCCTGCGCATCAGGATGGTTTGTTTCTGCACACTTACTAAGGCTTCTTTAAAATACAGTCAGATCTCCTGGACTCCTCTGGACTCCCATATGTTACACTTTAGATGTGTTTATCCAGTTAACCATGTCTTACAGTGTAACCCAGCCACACATTCAGTCAGTTAAAAGCAAAACCAGACAATTTTTGTGTAATATTTGGTATCTGGTTTCCATCACACCTTAAAATGAATGTGTGGCTGGGTGGACTGCACCTTTGCTTGAACGGGCCCTGATGTGGTCCCTCCTGGCTGCTGATCAGCTAATTGGTGACAGTATCAGAAGCACACTAGGGCTCAAATGGGCTTCCTGGCTGATCTAGGGACCACAAGTAGGCAAGATGATGACAAGTGTAATTGGGGTTGGATCCCAAGTACAAAATCATGCATCTTGCCAAATACGTGTGGCATGAGAGCAGACATTATTGTGGGGACTGTGGATCAGATTCCATTACACCTTTAACCTAATACCTCTCAAAGGCCTAATAACACACATTTAGTATTTGTGGGCATGCTGGCAGGCTTCCCTGTTTTCTGTTGCAGAAAACCCCAGAACTGAACAATCATTCTGTCTTTACAACATTAAGAGTAAAAGTAACCTACAACATTAAGCTATAAGAAAAACACGTAAAACAGAGTTTCAGAAAGCTATGTTTAGTATAAACATATAGGCTAAGTACAGGCAGTCAAAAAGCTTGAGGCAGAATCAATTAAACCTGGGGGGAGGGGTGTTCGCTAAGCTGCAAAGATTGGATTGTGAGCAAATGTAACACGAGTTCGCCCTTGTTGGAGGTGAAGTAGGCAAATGCCTGTGCTGGCCAGGCCAGAAGGCAGAGGCGCTTCTGCACAGCTCCCAGCCTGGCAGCACAGTCTAGTGGAGCATGGCCATCCCTGATTGACTGTCAAGTACACGGCCCAAACCCCGTTTTCACATCAGACCCTCCCCTGCCCAGAGCCCTAGGCTGGGGTCTGCACAGGACAGGGGTGCTTTGTGGTAGGGGCTTTTCCCCTGCAGCCCAGCTTCTCCTGCAGCCCTGGTGGGGTGGCAAGGATGGTGGGGTGGGGAACAGAGCCCCTTCAGCCTAACCATAGCACCCCAGCTAGGGTCTGGCACAGCCGGGGGCTTTTCCCCGGCAGCCTGGTTTTCATCCCCGCAACCCCTGGGGAGCTCTGTGACAGCTCAGGGGCCAGCTGGGCTCTGATGAAGCAGACAGTGGGCAGAGGCTAGCCTACCTGCCCTGCAAGGGAAGGGTTGGCAGAAGGGGTGCAAAACATCCTGGGATGTTGGGAGACCGAGTGTTAACTTGAGTCAGGAGGGGATCTGGGACATATGTTAGATAGACTGATATAACCTAAATCAATTAAGCCTGATACTACATCCATCCATGTTTATCTTAAACTGGTTTTGGTACCCTGCTGCTCTGTCAGAGTGCTGGTATATTTTGGCATTCTTGAAAGCTATGGTCATCAGAAAATTCAAGCTCAAAAGGTAACAATAATGCAACTCTTCAATAGTCGTCCTATAAACACTTCATACTTATTCTGAAACTGGCTCTGGTAGCTGGTAAATATCATGCATTCAGTTGGGAAAGTAGCCATTAAGGCTAACTACAGAAAGTCAAAAAGCCTGAGGCTGAATAGATTCAATCTTTGAAGGTAAATCTAAATTGTATGGATTGAACCAATACGCAAGTGAACAGACATTCATTTTTGATTCTGGAATGATTCTTGTGGAATGGAATGGAGTGGTTCATTCCACTCCATTCCACATGGAACCTTCTGGAATGAATGTCCACTTTTGATTCTGGACATTCACTTTTGATTCTGGAAATACAGCCACATGCTTGGAGGAGCTAGAGCACACCTCCCTGCATGGCTGCAGCAAACATCTTGGGCCACAGCTAGCCTACCCATCCTACAATGGTGGGGTTTGTGGGGGAGGTGCAAAGCATCCTGAGATGCTGGGGAACTGAGTTAACTTGAATCTGGACAGGATCTAGGACAGAAGTTCAATAAACCGACTTAATCTAAATCAGTTAAGTCTCATTCTACATCCATCCAGCATCCCAACATGCTCTCTGGGCTGGGCGTGGCTCTCTGCTCCACAGAAGAGTTGGCCCCACCCCTCTACTCCCTGGCTGCAGCTCAGGCAGAGACTTGCAGGCTGTTCCCCACCATGCCCCTCACCACTCCGTGTGGTAAATCCCCACTTTCCCTCTGCCTTGCTGAGAGGTGTCTGTGTATTAGCTAGCAGACCACATGCTGGCTCCAGTCCGTTCTGTGACAAAGGCACAATCAACAGGTAGCTAGTAATGTCCATCTGTTGTTTTCCTAATGGGATGATAAACACTGAGTTAGGGGTGGTAAACACTGTCATGAATTCTCTGCTGGGCTAAGCAGATTATCCTGCCAGGGCCTGGCCACACCTTTGCCTCCCCACCCTCCCACCTCTGCTCAGCACTGTGAAATGAAGGGACGGCTGCTCTAGCACCCCCTGGCTTCTAGCCTGAGCCACTGCAGGCATGTGCCTGTATTTCTGGAATGAAAAGGAAATGTCTATCCATGTCCACACCAGTCTAAGCTTTGCAGGTTAGATTAACCTGCAAAGATTGAATCAATTCAGGCTCAGGCTTTTTGAATGTCTGTCCCAAATGTTACAGATTTGAACTGGTTTCCAATCACTTATACCAATTTATATGTAATTTCTCTCCCTAGCCTCAAGCAGGGTGAACAGATAACATAG